CCTCTTTTCTTCTACCCAGAGTGCCCCGCGTGAATGCGTGCACAGCTTTATTTGTCAGCGGTTTGTCTCAAGGAAAGGAAAATAGGTACACTTTGTTCCTTTTTACATGACGCAAATTTTCTTTCCCGCTTTGGTTAAGGACGGTGCCTACATTTGTTAGTGCGCATACTTTCTGCGCATCACGCAAGGCATGGTTTAAGCGCCATGCGCGCTGGGATTTACATTGATGCAATCAACTACGCTACCAAGTACACGACTAAAAGAAAGCAAAACTTTTCTACTGTGACCAAATCAAGTTTAATCAACCCGTACTTAAACCAGGAACACCAAAATAACAGCATATTGCTAACCACTAAATGTTAACGTCTTCCAGCTGAAAACCTATCTGTTATTTGTCGAAAATTACACTGAAATCCAACTGTAAACATGTACCTGCAGATGGCGTAGTGCACGCGCAAAACAAGTGCGAAATACGCAAATGTTCTACTTACAGGGGAGATGACAGGAAAAAATGTAGCGGGCACCGTAAAAGTTTTCAAAAAAGATCAATAACTTTAAAAAACGCGTGGTTACCCCCACATTTTATGCTATAAAATGGAAGTGGCAAGTCTATTCAACGCGTGATTAGTTTCTGGTTGCGAGCAAAAGGTATTTAGACTGTATTGTGGCTGAACCAGAGGAAGGTTGTCAAGACGCTAAAAGCGCTGTTGTAACGATTTTGTTATTAAAAACAAACCACAAATGGTTTTTATGTTACCATTTACCATGCAGTTTTAAGATCTTCTGATAAACGTGTTTGCTTTTCTGTTTGTAAATACGAATTCAAAGGAAATCTGTGAAGAAATATCCTTTCCACCTTTTTTCAGAAAACGCTGATGTCAGCATTTTTGTTGAGATCTNTTAAAAAACGCGTGGTTACCCCCACATTTTATGCTATAAAATGGAAGTGGCAAGCCTATTCAACGCGTGATTAGTTTCTGGTTGTGAGCAAAAGGTATTTAGACTGTATTGTGGCTGAACCAGAGGAAGGTTGTTAGAGACGCTAAAAGCGCTGTTGTAACGATTTTGTTATTAAAAACGAACAACAAATGGTTTTTATGTTACCATTTACCATGCAGTTTTAAGACCTTGATAAACGTGTTTGCTTTTCTGTTTGTAAATGCGAATTCAAAGGAAATCTGTGAAGAAATATCCTTTCCACCTTTTTTCAGAAAACGCTGATGTCAGCATTTTTGTTGAGATTCAAGGCCAATTATCTCGAAAAAATGCGTGGTTACCTCCTTTTTTCTTTGTGGATTCCAATAGCCCTTGCAAAGATCTACTTTTTCCGCGTGGTCCTAACCTGGCGCAAAAACCTTTGTATTTAGTAGGCACCGTCCTTAAGGAACTTTTTGCGCCAGATCCGATCTGGCGTTGCTCGTTTACAAATCTTGAATTTGCTTGGTTTTTTTTAGCTCTCGACCTGCTATATTATAATTTCTGGTGGAAAAATGCAGCAAGAAAGGCAGGGGGTCAGCGCGCGAGAAATTCAGGACAGTTATTGTAAAATACGCCACAAAGTAAATAGACTGCTGGCAGTCTGTTTTTCTCTCGAAATTCTGTAGGGGTTATGAGGCGAGACGTTTTGGCTAAAGGGAATGGGACGAGACATGAGCGCGGCACGCACGAGAAGAAAAACACGCGCCTTCTTCCCTACTCGGTCAGACCGCCCTTGTCCCGCCTTCTTCCCCACTCGGCCACCGCCATTAACCGCCCTTTTTCGTTCGCGATAAACAAACACTCGTCCTAGTGACCCTTAGAGAAAAAACCGGCCGCCAGCAGACTACCAGGTAAACGACTAAAATGAAGGCAAAATTTTCTACTGTGACCAACCATCAAGTTTAATGAACCTGGATCAAAAGACACGGAATAGCATAAATGTTAACGGTTTCCAGCTGAAAAGCTANGCGCTGTTGCAACGATTTTGTTATTAAAAACAAACCAAAAATGGTTTTTATGTTACCATTTACCATGCAGGTTTAAGATCTTGATAAACGTGTTTGCTTTTCTGTTTGTAAAGGCGAATTCAAAGGAAATCTGTGAAGAAATATCCTTTCCATCTTTTTTTCAGAAAATGCTAATGTCAGCATTTTTGTTGAGATTCAAGGCTAATTATCTCGAAAAAAAGTGTGGCTACCCCCTTTTTTCTTTGTGGATTCCAATAGCCCTTGCAAAGATCTACTTTTACCGCGTGGTCCTAACCTGGCGCAAAAACCTTTGTAGTTAGTAGACACCGTCCTTTACTGCGCTACACGAATGGCTTAAAAAACTCGCGCCACTTTTTCATCTAATCAGAAGTAAAACCAAAATCAATGGTAACTCGCTCACACACGTTTTCCCGCGCTTTGCGTTAGCTACATATAATTACTTCGAGCTTTGATTGGTTCACTGTATTTTCTATGTCCTTTGTGATTGGCTAAAGTGATTACTTTGGTATTGGTTTTACCACACTTAACTTAAAACCGCTCTACTTACCAACTAGACTACTCAGCCAATCTCAAACCGTGGCAAAGCCAAAACCTAAACCAAAACCAAAGTAACCTCTTCATTACTTTCGCCCCTCAATCTCTGACCAAAATTTGGTACATCTATTCCAGTCAAAATTAAAAATAATTATTGCATACTATTTTTAGGTACGTTGCGGAAGTCTGTGCGCATTTGTACAAGAACCGGTCAAAAGTTTGTGGTTATCAAATCACGTGGGAACCGGCCATGCTACGTCACTTCACTGCTCATCTGGAGCCCATTCCTACCCCGTCAAGGCCTTCCGTGGAGGAAGCGAATCGAGAACGCCATCCGTCAGCTGTAAAGGTATCCAGCGGTCAGGTGTTACGCAGTAGAAAAAACTCTGCAATGCAATTTAGTTAATTAATTTAAGAGGAATCAATTACAAAAGAGTCCTAGGCTGTCATCTTTTTCTTACGTTGTTGTGTATAAGCTCGGTTAAAGTCCAAAAGAAAACCGTGCCAGATAAAGTGTCGTCTCCGTTGCTGTTATTTGAATAGTTCTGTTAGCAACAGTTCTGAGGAAAAGAATAACCGCTGCGAAAGGAAACAAAGAGAAAGATGAGATCGATGTTTTGACTGTGAATAACTTTTGCTAGCAGTCATGAAAATGGTTACTCTTCATTCTCTTCCCCAGGGTCCCCCTGTCCCTGTTAGCCGAAAAGGCCTTGGCACGAGCTGTTAGCTGCCAAGGCTTTGGCACGAGGAAAAGGTTACTCTGGAGACACATTAAGTTGATTGGCTTCATTTTTGGACTGAGATTTTCACTAATTCAACGCTGGTTTCTTTGTCGAACTTATCAAATGGTTGGTCTCTAATCAAAACTGTTTGATTACAGCACCTTCCTACCATTTCGACAAACGGAATTTTAAGAATAATTAAAATTTTGGCCGGAAGTGTGATTGACTTTATTGAACTTTACTAAAAAAAAAATACTCCTCAAAAACCGGTTTTAAACTACCGTAAAATCCCACGTTATAGCCCCCCCTGGTCACAAGCCCCCCCCGGATATAAGCCCTTATATTTGTTAACAAAGATATTATGCCGGATATAAGACCCCCTGCGTTCCTTTTGCGTTTTCTTTACGAACATCAAAATTTTTAATCGAAAGTTATAGGGTAATAGGGTAATAGCTCTAAATGTAATGGTATGTTAGCTTTAATTCGTTTCTCACATACGTTTTATCCCGTCGTTGCGAAACATTTTTTGTATTCCGCTTATATGCGCCCCCAGATAGAAGCCCACCCAAAACCCCCTATGAAGTTTTCTAAGCCCAGGATTTTACGGTACCTGAAGGTTCTGTGAGCCTGTGATCAAACGTTTTCAGTCATATATCAAGCAGCGATACTGTCAGGAAGGAAACCAGCTTTAATATTAGTCTAAGAATCTAACCAATCCTATTATGGGTCTCCAGAGCCACCTTTATCTCGTGCCAGTGCCCCGCCGGCTAAAAAGGACAGGTGGTCAGTTCTTGGTAAGAGAATGCGTTACTTTTGAGCTGACGCGATGCACGTTTTTGATTTATTTAAACGTGCGTCATCCTACCTAAGGGTTAAATCAGGCTTTGGTAGCATACATAACTGATCAAAATGATACGCTGAAAAGCGCAGTCCTCGCGCAGCTAACATGCAAGGAAAAGGCCAGGACACCAAGAAGAATTAAAGACATTAGAAATAATATATTTTTAAAGATGATTTTTATAAATGAAGTAAATTGTTCCATTTGATTTGTTTTAACTTGGATTTGGAAGCGAACCATGAATAAGCTATTACCAAGAAATGTCAATTAACCATCAACCTTTGGGAAGGATGATAATTCTATAGAGGCCCTATTAGGGACTTCGGGATACGGGATATTAAGGTAAAAAATAGACGAGAGACGGGATGTTAGGGGACAAATAATGGAATATGGGATATTTAGATCAGATAAAACCAGGATAAAACGGGATATTAAGTTAGAAACTTTGAATTTACTTCATGTAAGTAGTTGCGAAATGTTTACATTTTGTGACGTCATACGTGAAACAAAACAAAAAAACGTAAACAAATTCTCGAGAGTGCGCAATAGGGACTGGAAATCATCTTTAATGAATATTTAGGGATATTTAGGCCAAAAAAAATTTAAAAAAATAATGAAAATAACGGGATGTGGGATGCTCGGGTCCTCAAGCCCCTAATGGGGCCTCTCTATAGACTGAACTGTAAAGAACGATTTGCTTTGACGAAGATGTCGAAAGTGTGAAACTGATCCGGTATATATGTACCTCAGAGTTCAACTCTCTATATCACAGAAACAAGGACGCTTGTGGAACCTTTTAGGGATCAAACATCCTGTTTTGATACCGTTTTGGCTCTTCCATTTCAAGTGTTTGCAGTTGCAACATTTTGGACACATCGTAGGGCTCGGGTCGTAGGGTCTTTGCTTGGTCAGCAGTCTTCAATACACACCCACAAAAAAACATAATTGTGCAACCAGTTAGGGGTTCTATCAAATTTGCGGCCAGAATCCCCCGAAACTTCTATGGGAGTGCCTTTTTTCCACTCTAACCTCGCGGGAACTTTCTAGGTAACGGTATATATAGAAGCGAAAAGCCTGTGCTAAAGAGAGACAAATTCTATTTGGTTTGCAAACCAATCGTAGTTCGCGTAAATACTACTTAAAAAGTTTGATAAAGCATTGTCGTAAATCGGCGAGTTTCTTCGGTTGTCCCGTCGCTAACGAGCACAACAATATTTACTGACTTGACAAAACCTTACGACCCAGGGCATGGGCGGTGCTGACGATAAGCAGAGGAGATCGTATTTCACTTGGTCCTACTGATTCGATTCATACACCAGCAGGCGCCCAATCAAGCGACTCACCTCAACCCGTCAAGTTATTTCAAAGATTGGATTTCACTTGGCTCTACTGATTCGATACATACACCAGTAGGGAACCAATTAAACGACTTGCCTCAACCCGTCAAGTTATTTCAAAGATATTATTCAGTGTGACGCGAATGAAACGTAAGAGGTTTATTAAATAAGTAGTTTGTTGTTTAATTTGAGCGTTTACGTACAGCTCAAAGCAAAGAAAGATTAAAGTAAACTGCGGTGACTGATGTGCACAAGTCACTTTTCTACTACTAGCCTCGCACTGAATTGTTTGAAGGCTACACTCGAGAGTGTTTTTTACTGATTGTTGTATATGTTGGCAGTAATCCCTGTATTATATACACGCTTTCTTATAATGTCAAAGAAACTGAAATGACTGCCGACGGAACGACATTCCACGCACGCGCGAAATGAAGTCTTCCATGTCGTCGATCTCGTCCTCGTCTTCTCGTCCCACCTCCTCTTTGGTTTCACTCAGGGGAATGGGTTCCAGATGAGCGCTGAAATGACGTAACACAGCAGGGGCCCACGTGATCCTATATCCGCTGACCTTCTTTTTGTGCCTGTAAACGTACTCCAAAACTTCGGCAACGTACCTGTGAAAAAAGACATGATGGTCAGCTGATTGACATATACCAAGGATACTTGGATTGGCTTATGAAGTACCTACTTCATGTGTGATTCAGTATATGTCCTTCGTGGAATTGCAAGGCGAAGAAGCTCTCCGTTTTCATCTTCAAATTCGTTGTCGTCTTCCAGATTCTGAGGGTCTTTGCCGTGCATCACACCCCCCAACTCACCACAGCGGATTCCACCTGGAAAAGAAGAAGTAACAGCATATTTTGCTAGAAAAATTATCATTAATTTCATAAGTATTTCAGAAAATGTTCTACCGACGCTGGTAGCAATATGCGCGCATTGAAATTACTTTTCTTTTCAAGTGTCATAATGTCGTCTTCAAAGTTATGTTTTCAGAGGTAGGTAACAATTTCTGTTGTTGTACCTCCCAACTCAAATACGTTTTTCGATCGGAGGAGAACGTGTCACGTGCCTTTGGTCAAAACTCACTAACACCCTAGGGAAACAACAACTTAAACTTACGATTCGCACGTGACCAGGTCGTGCTCCTTGAAACCGCGCCAAATTTGTGTGTCAGCGGGCTTCGCCGCGGGGAATATTGAGGGTCTCAGGGAAGCAAAACTCACTGTTTCCCTTGGGGCCAGTCATTAAGTGCTCAATGTAAATAGCAACTAAAAAAACACAGAACACTTAAACTTTTGCAAGTTCAAATGTACACATTTTGCGAATGTGATTTTTACAAGATCACCGAAACTTTTGTCTTTTTAGAATTGATATATCTTCAGGAGGAAAAGAAATTGTTCGAAAAAATCAATTATAACATGACGCGCTCACGAAGTAAGGTAAGGTGTAAGAGGAAGAAAGAAGGCCTCAGTTTTACCACTCAACATTTAAAGAAATTGTACAGCTCATGATCAAGCCTTTACACCACAGTCTTTATCATCTTACCTTCTACATAAAGGGCACAACCAAGAGCCCATGCAGGGAACTGCTCCTTGGGAATGTGCGGCAACATGGCGGCTGCATCAATGTACACTGCATGCCCACCTGGAGGAGTTAAAGCAGGAATGCGGTGCTCCCTCAGCAAATCTGCAAGCATTTTGACAAACCCCACTTGATATCGGAGATAGTCTTCCTCTAAAACCTCGCGCAATCCCACTGCCATCGCCTCCAGATCTCTCCCGGCCAACCCACCGTAAGTGAGAAACCCCTCGGATATGATCAACTCCCGACGGCACTTATCTGCGAGATCTTCGTCGTTCATGGCCAGGAATCCGCCAATATTCACGAGACCATCTTTCTTGGCAGACATAGTACAGCCGTCGGCGTAGGAAAACATCTCGCGCGCGATTTGGAGCGGCGTGCGATGCGCGTAGCCTTCCTCGCGCGTTTTGATAAACCACGCGTTCTCCGCAAAACGGCAGGCATCAAGGAAAAGCGGAATTCCATGATGATGGCAAAGCTTGGAGACCATTTTAATGTTCTCCATACTGACAGGCTCTCCTCCAATGGCGTTATTTGTTATCGTGATCATAACCATGGTAACATTGTCTTTTCGTTCGCTCAACAGCAGCTCTTTCAGTTTATTAACATCCATGTTTCCCCTGAATGGAACCCTTTTGCTAGGATCCAGAGCTTCAGGAACTGGAAAATTCACCGCTTTTGCTCCACATTTTTCCACGTTTGCTTGAGTTGTGTCAAAGTGTGCGTTGTTTGGCACCAAGTCACCTTCTTTTAGGCTGCACTGAAATAAAATGCGCTCTGCAGCACGGCCTTGGTGCGTGGGAATCACGTGCCGGAAGCCGAAGATATCCTTTACGACTCTCTCCAACTTCCGGTAGCTTGGCGAGCCAGCATATGACTCGTCACCTATCATAATGGCGGCCCACTGGTCAGAGCTCATGGCGCCGGTGCCAGAATCTGTCAACAAGTCAATGATGATGTCTTCGGAGTTCAACATAAACGGATTGTAGTTTGCTTCTTGAAGACGTTGGATACGTTGTGCTCTAGTTGTGTGTTGTATCCTCTCAACGGCTTTGATTCTGAATGGCTCAAAAAACGTTTTGAAGCTGTGCTCTTTTAACTCCATCGGTAATGAATTCTATCAGGTACATAAAAACCGAGGTATTAATTTTAACAGGGGATGATTTGGTGTGAGACCTCGTCCACACTACGCCGGAGGAATTTGAAAACTGAGGTTTCACTCTGAAAACGCATCAAATGTTTTCCACACACACTACGACGGAGGAATTTGAGAACGCAACAATCACCGCTCATTTTGGATCTGTGTTTGAGGAAAACCCGGACAGGAAAATATCCTAATTATCGTAGTCTAGTCGTTTTCGAAAAGTTTCCTATTCAAAATGTTTTCTGTCCACATTAAAACGCAAAGACGGCGTTTTCGAATTTCTCCGGTTTGAAAAGCACTTTCGTAAGGCTCCGTTTTCGTGACGGATTAGTGTGGACGGTAGGCCTAGTCGTTGAAATAAAGCTGCGTTTTCAAATTTCTCCGGCGTCGTGTGGTAAATAGAGAAACGTGCAAGCGGCGACACGTGCGGGATAACGTGCAACCAGTTAGGCACGCGCGCGTGTGGCCAAACGACCAATCTCTTTCATGGGAAAACGATTAAGAGTTGGAAAGCGCGGGAAAGCGGAAGGTGCGGGTAAACATGTACCTGAAAAATAGCGCGGGAACTGTGTGGCCGGTGGCAGACGCGAGAAGAATTGAAACATCCTAGTTGCTGCTTCATACAGATCTAGTTTTGCACGAGTTTTGCACCTGTTTCAGGGCCGGAGAGGCAACAACTTGGACATCTTGGAATTGATTGGCAGCACGTTGCACGAGTTTTTCTAACCAATAAAAAAGTCAAATAAAATGCAAAGCCAAGTAAACAAAAAATGATTTTACAAATTATTGGCACATTTAGGTAATCACATGTAGGCAAACTTAGTATTGAAACCGAACAGTGATTTAGGGCAGTGAAAAAAAGTGAAGACTGATCAACAACATATACCTTTTGTAGAATTTTTTTCTCCTAAAATCCCGGGGCCTTACAATTTAAGTAGCTGGTTCAAATTAAGCTCAACTTTGCAAAGTCTTTTTAGTAACGTCGATGTTGATCATGTTGGTTTTCCTAAAGAAAAATAAATATGTGTATATTTCGGATAAATTCATTTGACACGCACGAAAAAGAAACGTCTGGAGGACCAATGCAAATGGTAGACCCAATTGTCATTGGAAAAAAAAACCAGCAGAACTTAAACTTTAAGTTGCACTAACGGATTGGCCCTAACCCAAATTTCTAAGGTCTTCGTTTTCGTTTGAATTACGTAAATGTTTGTTCTCAGCCAAATAGAGGAAACTTTGAAACATTTTGCAATTATTCATCAAAGCAATCCGCTTTTTTGCCCACCATGATTACCGTTTTACAGCAATGAAAAAGCTAGAGCAAAAAAGTGTATTTCTTTTAGTAAAGTGAAGCGCAACTGGAAACTGGAAAGGAAGGAAGACAATTCTGAAGTGATTTACAAATCATTGAATAACAGAATATCACCAAGTTCAAAAAAGGTGCTTAGCCTGTCAGAGAGTGCAGGAAGACATTAATCTCTTTGGACTCTACGCATTACATACTCTTTTTTATAGGAATATATGTTATATGAATAACGAGGCTGAAATTTGTGAAATGTTATGAATACTTTAAGAAATATCAGTAAACCTAAGGCTGAGATTTAGAACAGAATGTAATTTTGTGTGTTGAAAATTTGTAAATACAATACAATTATATTTTTTTAACTAAACCGCATAATAATCTTCTTTTCTCTAAACGGCAAAACAGAAAAAACAGAACGACAGCAGCACTACCCCTATGTTCAATGCTAATAACATTTCTGCAAGAAGTTATGTGCGTCTCTGCAAAGCCATGATAGGAAAGATAAACGAAAATGTCATACGCTATAATCTAAGGTTATTCACAAGAATATTTTCAGCCTAAAATTGGCAGAAAGATAAAAATATTAAGAATATTCAGCTTGAGCAGGGAAAACAATATTCTTACATAACAGAAAAGATTGTAAACGGTAAACTTTAACGCCATGTAACTGAAAAGCATCGCTTACCTCTGTATCTGTTTTTCCGCTGCGATTTTCCTCCTCAAACTTCAATACGTCTCCACCCTGCAAAATGAGTTCTCGCATTTTTTTTTTCTGCTGGTTGTCAATATATTTGCTTGCAGCTCTGTCCCAGCCTTAGTTAAACACCGGAAGAATTCTGTTAAGGGAAAATAATTAATGTTGTTCTTTAAATTCACTAATAGACGGAAAAATGAACGAGATTGTCACAGGGATATTTCATAACTTATTTGTTATTTTCACGGTAATAATAAAGTTTTGCACCAGGTGCGTTCAGCAAGGTTTAAAAAGCTCTAAAAGATTACGTAACAACTTTCATGTAATTATTAGCGATTTCAAGACGATTTTGAATGAACGTTTTGCAAACATTACGCTAATACACCAACTTTTACACTGCGTAACAAATCATGTTAATTTCGGTGAAATGTTAACGCGATATTTTTACTTCACATTTTATTCTCATAGATCAAGAGAAACTCTAAGCAAAGTGGGCTTGAGAGAAATATTTATACATTGCATGCATGCAACGCGACTCATTTTGCTTCAGAATAACTTTATCCGGAAGACAAAATGCAAACTAATACTTTGGTGTTTCTAAGAAAAGGAAGCTTTTGAGGGCGCGTAAGTTTCCATTTTCAATCACTGTATGTTGCAGATAGCTTAAAAGCTACAATCTGTCACTCAAGTTAAGTTATTTAACATCCACGACTTTAAGGTAGCTCACTCTTAAACTTGAGCGAGCATAATCCTTCATGTCGAATTTGCAACTTATTTTAAGGTAAAAGAACATTTTCAGTTAGTACCTGTTGTAAGTGCGTTTTCCTGACAACCAAGAACCAACTGAACACCACGACGTTGCCACTAAGAATCCACCGCGCCTTGTTGTCGCAATTTTAAACACTTCTCTTGACAATAGAGCGTTTCCCCTGTCAAAATATTACTTAATACTCAAACAGGAAGCTTGCGTAAGATCACCGCCAGGGAAAGGTACACACGACACTTTAATTTTTTTGTTTGCGTTTGCACAACACCTAAGACGAAGTCTTTTGTCATTTATTTGCTTTTCATTGCAATTGCTCAACTTGAAAGCTCAAGAAACGTTTGCGGGTCCAGCAGAGCGGCGGAAGTTTTCTTAGACTGTCAAAAGGAAGTTTTTAAAGCACGCCTCGTCTTTGGTTTATTCCAATTCAAGTCAAGTAGTGAATTAATGACAGAGTGCTTCTCATAAATCTCTCACTGTCCAAGAACTTTCAAGGAATTTCGAATCAAAGGAAGACAAATTAAAGCTATTTAGAACTTAATATTAAGAACAAAAAACAAACCGACTCCTTTTTAAGGGAAAGAGCATACATCTCTTTTACTGTGTGACGTACATCCTAAAATTAGTGGAGAATACAAACGCAAAAAGCGACACAACGTAGGATGATTTTTT